TTCTCAACGTTAATGACAAGCGAGTTCGAAATGTCGATGATGGGTGAGCTCACATTCTTTTTGGGACTCCAAGTCAAGCAAATGAATGATGGCACGTTCATTTGTCAAACTAAATATTGCAAGGAGCTCCTAAAACGGTTTGAAATGGACAACACCAAAGCCATGGCGACCCCGATGAGCACGTCCGACCATCTAGACAAAGACGAGAAAGGTAAGGAAGTAGAAGTCAAAAAGTATCGAGGTATGATCGGATCCCTTCTCTATCTTACCGCTAGTAGGCCGGATATCATGTTTAGCGTATGCCTTTGTGCAAGGTATCAATCATGTCCGATGGAATCGCACTTAACAGCAGTGAAACGGATCATGAAATACCTTGTTGGCACGGTTAACGTTGGACTGTGGTATCCAAAAGGCTCTTCGTGTCATCTCGCTGGGTATTCCGACTCGGACTTTGACGGTTGCAAATTGGACCGTAAAAGTACAAGTGGGACTTGCCACGTACTTGGTAGCTCTTTAGTTTCATGGTTTAGTAAGAAACAAGTCAGTGTTGCGTTATCCACAACCGAAGCGGGATACGTTGCCGCCGGTAGTTGTTGTGCTCAAATCCTTTGGATGAAGCAACAACTCGTGGATTATGGCCTTAGTATCAGTCACGTTCCACTCCGTTGTGATAATACTAGCGCCATAAGCTTGACGAAGAACCCCATTCTTCATTCAAGAACGAAACACATTGACATTAGGCACCATTTCATTAGAGATCATGTTCTCAAAGGTGATGTCGAAATTGAGTTTGTTGAAACACACAACCAATTAGCCGACATTTTCACAAAACCTTTAGAGAAAGAATCGTTCTTCCGCATTCGTAGTGAACTCGGAATCCTTGACTTCACGATGATCTAATTTGTGCATTTTATCACTTCTTTTTCTTTGTTTGACCGTTTATTAACTTGAGCGTCGGAGGGTTTTCTAACTCTTTTTTGCAGGAATGGTTCGAAGTGAAGAATTCTGGAAATCAGGGGGAACCAGCAATGGGTGCGTTATACCATCGCTGGGAGGGAAGTCTTCACTTTTCCAGGACCCCTCTTCCCATAGATGGGTGCTTCTCCCCATCGATGGGTAATTGACTCTCTTTTTTTAAAAACTTTTAACGGATTTCCAGAATCACCTTACCCATGGATGGGTATTTCATCCCATCGCTGGGTGAATGTTTTTAATTTCAAAAATTTTTTCCAGAACCTCCCTACCCATCGATGGGAACTTTCTCCCATCGCTGGGTGTTTGACACTATTTTTTTTTTAAAATTTTTTTAATCGGATTCCCAAAATCACCAACCCAGCGATGGGATGGTATTAACATCGCTGGGAAGGCTTTCGTCTTTTATCCTTCACTTTCCAGAACCCACCTTCCCATCGATGGGAGAATCCACACATCGCTGGGAAGGCAGCCTGACTTTCTCCTTCGCTTTCCAGTAGCGACCTTCTCATCGATGGGTAGATCCTACCATCGCTGGGAAGGCGGTTGAAGTTCAAAATTTCAGAACCGTTGGAGACAGCTTTAATGGCCCAACTGCTCTTTTTTTCAAAATTCAAACGGGATTTCCTCCTCTCCCTATATATTCCCTTCACCCTTAGCCATTTTAAACACACTCTTATCTTCTCAAATTGCCTTGATTAAGTCTTTTCTACTAAACTCTTTCATTTTTTTAAACACACCACAACCATGGCCGGAGGAAAGAAGACAAAAGCTTCGAAGAAGAAGGTCACCACCGAGGCTACGAGCTTAGCGCCCCCGCCGTTCCCCTACCTGGATGCTCGTTTCTTGAGTTCGGGTCGGAGGAGGAACTCAACCGGTTCCTCACGCACTTTGCCAAGCGTCCCATTTCTCCGCCTAGGGTGCTACCCGAGTTGTACCCTCAACAAAAGGGGTACCATGACCTCGACAATCAGCTTCAAGCATCGGGTCTGTGGTCGTTCGTCTCCAGGAGCCGCTCGAACTTCAATCCCGCCTTTGTGCGAGCCTTCTACTCCAATCTCCGCCGGGACGGGGACACCATTCGCAGCAGCATCAATCTCTACGACATAGAGATTGATTTGCTTACCTTTGCTCGGGTCGCAGGGCTGCCCATCCGCGGTGACGACATCGCAACCTATGGTGGCGACGATTGGATCCTCAACAACGAGGCGGTCATCATTCGTGAGCTTGGGATCACCAACTTGATCCGCCACAGCGGCGCACCGACGATTCACTCGGCCCCACCGGACAAGCGCCTCCTCCTCTACATCATCACCTGGATTCTCCGCCCCCAGGACAGCAGCCATACCTTGCTCTTCAACGAGGACTTGAAGGCGATTCACGCCATCATCCACGGCGCCTCCATCAATTGGGCGAAATTCGTGATGATCCACATGGCGGATTGCGCCTCCATCGCCACTGAGCGGAGCTTGCCATACGCCTTCCTCATCATGAACATCATCATCTCTGCCGACATCTCCATCGCCGGCCCGGATACGAAGATGACAAAGATTTGGATAATTCAAGACAGCACCTTCCAGAAGAAGTGCGGAGACCGGGACGGCGCAGGCCCGATTCGTGCACCAGCCCCCGCTCCCGCCAAGGCCTCTTTGCAATCCATAGCCGATACTCTGAATCGGCTAACCCTCACAGTGGATGGCATGGGGCAGTCAATCGAGCGGATGGACTGGACGCTGCAACGCCAACACCACGACATGACGACGTTCTTCCGCGGCATCAACTACGTCCCGCCGCCCTTTGACAGCACCTTCCTCGGCCAAAACTATGAAGGCGAGGACGAGGAGGATAACTCCTAAGCTCCATCCTCCTCCCCCGACGAGGCCGACTTTGGAGATGCGGTCCACGGCGATCCAATGGACGCCGAGGACGACGAGGACGCCGATGCTTAGACTTTTCTTTTCTCTTCTTACTATGATTGTATTTTTATTTCCATTCCGTTGTATTCCGCATTTCCCTTTTTCATGAATAAAAGTTTACTTTTACAATTCTAAAGTTTACTTTTAATTCTTTTTGTTAATGTCAAAAGAGGGAAGATATTAAGGTTATGCATAAATTAAGGGGGAATTTTTTTTGTAAAATGGCATCTATTAAGGGGGAACATCTTTTTCAAAATAATCCTCCTATGCATAACCTCGTCTCGTTTGCCATTATCAAAAAGGGGGAAATTGTTGAAACACAGGCTTGTCACGTTTTCGTACTAAAGCCGTGTTCGTTCTTGTAACAGGTTTTGATAATGCCAAACCGCCGTGATCAAGTCAAACATTGAATATACAAGGCGAAGAACGAAGATAAGAGCAAGAGCTAAACGAAGACCAAGAACGAAGACCTTAATCATAGTATTGAGTCGGTCTTTATTGTGATCAAGACCGACCCAATCTTTACACCTTGGCTCTTTAGGCCTAAATCTCTCATTGCATTTCTTACATCATAAAAATGTTTTTCAAACTTTTTTAAGTCATTAAAAACACAAGGTGTTCGCCCAAACCAAAAACCAAGCCATCCAGTGTTCGGCTTTCAGAAACCAGCGTTCGGCTTTCAGAAACCAGCGTTCGGCTTTCGGTTGTCGGGTTTGGTTTTTTTTGACATCCGAACCAACCAAGTGGTTTTCAGCATTTTATGATCTGCTTTCACTCTTTGGCATGTTTAAACGGTTCTCCAACAAAAACACTTTGAAAACCATCTCTCGTTTTTAGTCGTTTGACAAAAACCACGCAAAACGGCGTAAACTTGGCTAGCCGTGGTTTTTAATCAAATGAAGTGATTTTTAAAGTGTCTCACTTGATTTCTTAGCCAAATACATCAAATAAGTGTTTTAAACACTTGGTTTTTATTTTGGAGAACCTTGGATTTTTCGGTCGGTTTTTGCATCGGTTGGCTAGGCCGTGGTTAAGGCAAAAACCACAGGTTTTTGGCTAACCACCCACCCAGCGATGGGAAGAACATCCCATCGATGGGTAAGT